TCAGTGGGGTGCAGGGATGTCAGTGGGGTGCAGGGAGGTCAGTGGGGTGCAGGGGAGTTCAGTGGGGTGCAGGGATCTCAGTGGGGTGCAGGGGATGTCAGTGGGGTGCAGGGGAGTTCAGTGGGGTGCAGGGGAGGTCAGTGGGGTGCAGGGAGTTCAGTGGGGTGCAGAAGGAAGGGAAGGGGGGGAGGAAGGACAAGGGGAGACTGATGTGTAACCCTGGAGCATCCCCCCAAATGGCAGAGCCTTGTGTGTGTGTGTCCCCACCACTCCCCCCCCAAGCCTGACCCCATGGCTGGGCTGGGCCCCAAAGACCCAAAATAGGGCCCACCAGGCTGGTAGGAACTCATAGGGTGGCCCCTGGACTCCCATGTCCTCCCTCTGCTCCCCTCCATCCCACGCACCTGGCTGGGGTGCGAACATTCAACCCCCATCCCTGCCTCAGTTTCCCTTCCCCATCCAGCAACCCCATCAGCCACCCCACTCCCAGGCAAGCTTGTCCCCATCACATCAGAGCTGCCAGCAGGATGTGAGGCACGTAGCAGCCCCGTGCCACCAGCCTGGGCTGCAGGGGGGCTGGAGGAAGCAGCAGGAGGAAGAAGAAGCTGCTGCCACCCAGGAGCTTGTAGCACCCACGGGTGGGATGGGTGAGGGATCCAGCCCAGTGATCTGGCTGAGCTCAGGGGGTCTCTCCGTGTTATGGGACCGTGTCCTTTCTGCTAGTCCTCTAAGAGAAGCAGGTGACCTCTCCTCCAGCTCAGAGCAGCCACGGGGATGGAACCTCTTAGCCCAGAGAAACCCAAATGCTCCAGGAGCAAAGTGGCACCCATCCCAGCTCCTGCATGGAAGTGGAGCTGGGCTGGGCACAGGTGGTGGCACCTCCAGGAGCTCAGGGGACACAGCCTGCCCTGCTGACCAGCTGTAGGGTTTTGGCACCCCCTGCAGAGGAGGAGGAGGAGGAGGCCACGCTGGCAGCTTAGTACAAATGAGCCTGCAAATTTCTCTTCCACACCAGGGTGAAGCAGTTTGGCCTTGCACCAACTTCTCTGCAGGCACCAGGGACAGGGGAGCTGAAACGGTGGTGATGGTGGTGATCACACTGTTCCCTGTGCCACCACCGGGAGCAGAGCTTCTCCCTCCACCTTCACCATCCTGATGGATCCTTAAAGCCATCCTCATAGTTTAGAGATTGGAGAATAACCACACAGTTTGGGTTAGAAGGGACCTTAAAGAACATCTAGTCTTACCCCCCTGCATGGGCAGGGACACCTCCCAGCAGCCCAGGCTGCTCCAAGCCCCATCCAACCTGCCCTTCAACACCCCCAGGGATGGGGCAGCCACAGCTTCTCTGGCCAACCTGGGCCAGGCTCTCCCCACCCTCACAGCCCAGAATTTCTCCCTCCCATCTCAGCTCCAGCTCCCTCTGCCAGCTGGAAACCCTTCCCCCTGCTCCCATCCCTCCCTGCCCTTGTCCCAAGCCCCTCCCCAGCTTTCCTGGAGCCCCTTCAGGCACTGGAAGCTGCTCTCAGGTCTCCCTGGAGCCTTCTCTTCTCCAGGCTGAACACCCCAACTCTCCCAGCCTGGCTCCAGAGCTGCTCCAGCCCTCCCAGCATCTCCAGGGCCTCCTCTGGCCTCTCTCCAACAGCTCCGTGTCCTTCCTGTGCTGGGGACCCCAGAGCTGTTCCCAGCCCTGCAGGGGGGTCTCAGCAGAGCAGAGCAGAGGGGACAATCCCCTCCCTGGCCCTGCTGCTCACGCTGCTGGTGACACAGCCCAGGACACGGGTGGGTTCTGGGCTGCCAGAGCAGACTGGGGGCTCATGTCCAGCTTTTCATCCACCAAGACCCCCTAGTCCTTCTCCTCACGACTTCTCTCTATCCCTCCATCCCCCAACCTGTACAGATACCAGAGGTTGCCCTGACCCAGAGGGACGGGGCTATGGGGCTGCACACACTGGTCCTTGCTCATGTTCCTAGGGTGCAAGTGACACCCAGTGGCCAAGTGACCAACCATCCCCTTTTGTCATTTGCAGGCACTGCTGAGGGGCCAGACCAGAGGAAATGACATCCATGGAGGACACCACCACCCCTGTGGCCAACCTGACAGACCCTACAGGGGTCGGGAGGAACTCATGCACTTTCCACGAGGAGTTCAAGCAGGTCCTGCTGCCCCTGGTCTACTCGGTGGTGTTCGTGGTGGGGTTGCCCTTGAACGCCGTGGTCATTGGGCAGATCTGGGTGGCTCGCAAGGCCCTGAGCCGCACCACGATCTACATGCTGAACCTGGCCATGGCTGACCTGCTCTACGTCTGTTCCCTCCCACTTCTCATCTACAACTACACCCAGAAGGATTACTGGCCGTTTGGGGACTTCACCTGCAAATTCGTCCGCTTCCAGTTCTACACCAACCTCCACGGGAGCATCCTCTTCCTCACCTGCATCAGCGTCCAGAGGTACCTGGGCATCTGCCACCCCTTGGCCTCGTGGCACAAGAAGAAGGGGAAGAAGCTGACGTGGCTGGTGTGTGCTGCAGTCTGGTTCATTGTCATTGCCCAGTGCCTGCCCACCTTCACCTTCGCCTCCACCGGCACCCAGAGGAACCGCACGGTTTGCTACGACCTGAGCCCCCCGGACCGTTCCTCTGCCTACTTCCCTTATGGCATCACCCTCACGGTCACGGGTTTCCTGCTGCCCTTCGTGGCCATCCTGGCCTGCTACTGCCGGATGGCCCGGATCCTGTGCCAGAAGGACAAGGTGATCGGGCTGGTGGTGCACAAGAGGAAGGACAAAGCCGTGCGAATGATCGTCATCGTGGTCATCGTCTTCTCCATCAGCTTCTTCCCCTTCCACCTCACCAAGACCATCTACCTGATCGTCCGTTCCTCGCCCAGCCTGCCCTGCCCAGCTCTCCAGGCCTTTGCCATTGCCTACAAGTGCACCAGGCCCTTTGCCAGCATGAACAGTGTCCTCGACCCCATCCTCTTCTACTTCACCCAACGCAAGTTTCGCGAGAGCACCCGGTACCTCCTCGACAAGGTGAGCTCCAAGTGGAGGCAGGACCAGTGCGTCACCTACGGCTCCTAGGTGAGGATGAGGGCCACCTGGCAGCCACCAGGACAGGACAGGGAGCCATTTCGACTTCCAGCTCCTCAGAGCAGAGATGGCTTCAGCTGGGGATGTGCTGGAGGACAGAAGGACGGCATCTCCAGAGCTTCCAGCACTTTTCACCCCACGTGGCACAGATCTGGTGTCCTCTCTCTGACCCGGGTGCTCAGTTTGGGCTGCTTAGCACCACCTTTGCTCGGTGGCCAAGCCACTGATGCCATAAAAACCACTGGTGAGACCATGGAGAAGAGAGTGGGATCATGGAGAACATGGTCCTGGCTCAGGGGGAGCTGCTGGAGGGCGATTTCTCCCCCTCCTCATTTGAAGGTTCCCTGATGGGGCCATGCAAAGGCTGGGGAGGACTTGGCTCTGCTCCTACCTGTCTGGGGAACATGAGACCATGCATTTCTCCAGCTCAAGATAAGTGCCATGGACATTTTTTGGGGGGTAATATTGGGACATCCCTCTCCCCCAGTCCACAGAATGGGGCCAGCCCAGTAAGAGACATTGGCCCACTGGTCGCACTGATGCTGCAAAATGGTGGGAGAGCATCCCTGGCCAGACTGAGAACTGGGAACGGGTTCATCAGTGCAACTGGGATGCCCACGTTGGATTTCCCACCCAAGCAATGACCATGAGCTGGGTTAGTCATGAGCCAGCTGTGTTTTCATCTGTCTGGGGACCTTCAGCACCATCTGGGTCCAGCTCTCTATTTGGCCCAGCACTCCAAGTCTGCCCCATTCTAGAATCCTCAGCATCCTGATGTCACCTCCTAACCAGGATCCAGGAAAATCAGACCCAACACAACAGGACACAACACTGGGAGTCAGGAAACCCACGTCACTGAGCTACTCGGTGCCCTTGGCCATGTCACTGCACGTCCCACCATTGGCTTGGCATCTCCACCATCCCCATGCTGGGGCAGGGCTGAAACTGGCTCCCTGCAGCCTCTCCAGTGGGATCCTGCTTCCTCCCAGCAGGGAGGGATTTCTAACACGGCAAGGAATGGACGTGAAGCTCTGAGGGGCTTCTCTAACATACAGGATGTATGGAATAAACCTCCTGCCCTTTTCCAGATCATTGAACCACAAACTGGTTTGAGTTGGAAGGGACCTTCAAGATCATCTAGTCCCACCCCCTGCATGGGCAGGGACACCTCCCAGCAGCCCAGGCTGCTCCAAGCCCCATCCAACCTGCCCTTCAACACCCCCAGGGATGGGGCAGCCACAGCTTCCCTGGGCAACCTGGGCCAGGCTCTCCCCACCCTCACAGCACAGAATTTCTCCCTCCCATCTCAGCTCCAGCTCCCTCTGCCAGCTGGAAACCCTTCCCCCTGCTCCCATCCCTCCCTGCCCTTGTCCCAAGCCCCTCCCCAGCTTTCCTGGAGCCCCTTCAGGCACTGGAAGCTGCTCTCAGGTCTCTCTGGGGCCTTCTCTCCTCCAAAGGCTGAACACCCCAACTCTCTCAGCCTGGTGATGAGTAGATGGGTGTGGACACGTCCGCACACCCACTAGATATATGTAAATATATTTACAAATATAACATATCCCAGTGTCACAGTTTGGACAATTAAAGGACAATTAAATCAGGGACAAAAAAGGGGAAGGTTTGTAGCCCAGCACAGGCTACATAGCTGAGATGTTCTTCACCCTGAGTACACTCCAGGTGTCTATACAGTGTTTGTGTATATATAATATATACATTTTATATATATATATATCCTATATATATCCTATATATATAGGGATGTTTTGCTGCATTTCTCACAGGTTTTCTGTGTGTAACAATCATGGTCATTTGCTTCAGATCTCCAGAGAGGAGCATCCCTCCTGCACCCAAATCCATCCTGACTTCCTCCCCTCGAGCAGGCAGCATCTTCCTCAGGGCTCCAGCCAGCCAAGGACCTTGGCAGCATCCAGGCCTGGTGGTCTCAACGTGGTGAGGAGGGTGCCCAAGGTGGTCCTTTGCTTTTGGTGGATGTTCAAGGATCTCAGCACTGTGGTGGGATGGAATGGAGAGACATCCTGCTACAAGCTGAAGCTCCCTGGTTGTGCAGGAGTGGCTTCCATGTCCTGGTGGAGAGGACCATGACAACAGCTTTGGGTTGGGGGACAGAAAGTGGTGGATGAAGGACAACCCAGCCCTGGGATTTTTCTCCATGGCTGGAGCTCATCTGCACCCAAAATCTCCTCCGATGTGTTTTTGGGCTCCTGCCA